TTGAAATTTCAAGTGTGCTCCATAAGCTGTTGGCTGCTGTTGCTTTTTAGCTGCGTTGGAGAATTCACAAATTGCAAATTCAATTCAAGGTTGTTGCTCTCTCTCAGCAAGCAACTGACTGGAATCGGCGTCATGTTTTTTTTGCCTCGCTCAGGTTTGCTTGACATAAGAATTCGAGAAGCTCCAACTTAATAAATTTTTAAATTACTTGCATATACATTTTACTACTGAATAAGTACACACATACACAAGTATGCAAGTTAAACTTTGTTGGTATGTCATATGGGTGTGTACATGTTTTCTTTTTTTTAATTTTTACGTATTTGCAGTATATGTATGTATTTGCATTTAATGTGTGTGCGTATTTGGTTGGGGAATCCAAGGAGTACATTTTTACTTTCTTTCTCTCTTATCTACTCTGCTCCGTCGGCAACCCCGCTGTGTCAATATTGTCTTATTTGCGCACTATAAATTCAAGTTAATTTTGATGACTGCGCTGTTGACTTCCAGTGTGAACTGATAGGGATTCGTCATTAACAACGCAAACATACCGCCAATAGCAAGAGACCAGAGTTTCTATGACGTTGACTTGGCTCGTCTAATGATGGCTTTGGCATTAAACGTTTAACGGCTCTGTGCTAAATATGTGCCAGTCAGAACGATTTTACTGGCTGCGGCTGCTTTTCAGCTACTCTTCAGTGATGCCAACAAAGGCGGCACATCTTCGAGCGTCCAGCGGCCGTAAAGAAGAAACTACAAATAAAAGCCGGTAAAGGTCATCAACCGGAAGAACGCCGCTGTGGAATGTGCTCAAATGTGTATGTACATACATACATAAGCTTGTTTGTGTGAAAGTCAAAACTAGCGAAGGCTACGGTTGCTGGCATAGCTACGAGAAAGAGAATTGTAATCAGCAAAAGCAACAACTTCTGCAACAAGTATATATATATGTATGTATGTATATGTGTGTGCCTCAATAATTATGTATGTTTATGGGCGAGTCGTTTGCTAAATTTACTGCTGTCCTGGTTACGAGCTGCGGCAACTGCAAATTTGGCCCAATTTTGTTGTTGTTCAATTAGTCGGAAAAAGCTGCCGCTGCCCATATGGAATTTTTCACTCACACCCTACTATTGCTGTAACGGCAACGGTGCAAGTGCTCGCCACTCTCTCGTTCTCACAAACACACACACACACATACTCAATCTAGTGTTTTCTTTTCGTTTGTTGGCTTTGTTTTATGTTATTCATAAATGCAATTTTGCTTTTGCTATTTTTGATAGTCACGCCGCCGCGACGGGCAAGTGATAAATATAGAAAGTACTCCGAGTTATTTATTTATTTATGTTTATGCAACATGCAATGTTATGTGCGCTTTAATAAAGAGAGCGTGCTATTTGGAGAGTGTTGCGTGGGAGCATCAAGTTCGTTGCTGACGATACCCATTTTCTCTTTTAGGTAGGTCACTAAAATCCGAATCTGTGTACGGAAAGTCGCATTTAACAATGACTCACTCAATATTTCTTACAAAAAATATTTTAGAAAATTGAAAGCTATTTTTGATTCACTTTAATTATTATTGATTGCTGACGTGCTGCAGCCGCTGTTTATTATCAATAGTATTCAAGAAAATCTACGCTTATCGCATGAATGAAAACTACATTCATTATTTACGATTTTTTTGAGAGAAACTGTCAGGCTGAGTGTGAATGGAAGGGTAGCCGGAGGAACGGCAGGGCTGCTGCTTGGTCTGCCAACAATGTGTAAATGTCAAAAGAAATGTTCATACAAATGAGGACGCACACACTACGAGTGCAACTTATAGGGGCCAGCACATCAATTATGTTTATTTCTTGTTTGATAAAATCGTAACAAAGGCAAAGAACAGCCAGTCACACACACTAACACAGATATGTGTACAACCGGGTCTGTTAGACAGCGCCACACAAGCTCTTGGCAAATCAAATTCAAATGTAAGAAATAAATATTTTCAGCTGCTGCCCGGTGGACTTAACTATTTATTATTTTGCACTTTAATGTCATTTAATTAATTTGCATCGAGTGAAAGTATTAACACGAAAATATATTCAACGGGGCTTATTAAGCGCCTAATTGGCGAGACTGAAGAAAAGAGAATCATTCGAAATGTATGCGAAACACACACACGTACACGTTTGTATATATATATATGTATATGTTCTTGCTTATGCCTGCCAAGTGACCTAAACCCGATTTTGTGTGTGCGGCTGTTTGTCTTCGTCTTTTGCCTGATAGATATGGAGCACAGCGAACCAACACACATACATACAAAAATAGACAACGAAGTGATGGTCTGGATTAAAGTGGGGGCGTCGAAAATCAGAAGAGGTGGATGCAAAAGGGCGACGTACGCAAAGCTCAAGACAAAAGGGCGTCTCTGCCGCTGTCGTCTTTGTCGCACAAAAACAACAAATTCACTGCACTTAACACACACACGTCGAGTAGGCAGAGATAGACCTGCTTTTACTTTTGCAATTACCGTGCCTTTTTCCACACTTCCAACTTCTTGCAACGTCAACAGTTTTACAACATTTTCACATCAAAATCACAGAGCACTATTTCTGCCTTCACTACACACACAGATACATAGTACATGCATGCAGTTTTTGTTGTTGGGACCATCCGCCATTTGCAAGCTAGTGTTGTAAACGTGCATGTGTGTGCTTGAGTGTGTGTGTGTGTAGCGTTGTCGTGTCGGCAATTTTTTTCATTTTCGGCATCAATATTCATCTACGTTTCCTTATGCTTTTACATAATGCTAACTTTTAAAACATAGCCAATTTCAATTAGCATCGAGACTTACAATTCTTGGAGATAGAGTTAGTGCTAATGTTGAACTCAAAACATTTAAATTATAGATTTTCTTCCGTTCGTGTTTGTATTATTGCTTTGCGTTTGTTTCACTGTAAAGTGTGGCGGTCGGCATTGCGTGGTCGATAGAATGCGGTGGTCTGCCGATAAAATATTAGTGCGACGCTAAATGAAAAACCAAGTGGAAGCAAGCTGTCGATATTTAATGCTAAACTTTAACAGGGTGGTCATAATTATCAAAATCGAAGAGAAAATGTTCATATTAAAAACACTTGTTCTTATTCTACCGGTACGCACCAGATCATGATAGGCATATATTCCCAATACAAAACATAAATTGAAGGACAACGAATAAATTATCTTATTTTGTTTGCTCAAATTTTTTTGATTGGTTGTGAGGTAATCTCAGGATCATGAGTCCATAAACGTTGACCAACACTGCGCAGAATAACTTAAAGAAAGCTAAACGCACAGTCGAATTAATAAATTTGTGTCTATCGATAAATCGACAAAAAGGCCAAATGCAATTATTCGAGAGAACTGAATGAACGCCAACTATAGACCTAGCTAGTTCATTCTGCTTGTTACACGTTTGAACAAATTTAGGCACAACTGTCATAACAATCGCACCCGAAAAACAAATCCAAACACGAAGCTCTGGAAAATTCGAAAATACCGCCGACTGCGGAAACAATGATTGGTAAACTATCTGCTTGGTACCGCGACAATGTTTCGGAATCCGCCGACTGCGTTGCATGTCGACTAATAAGCGGATTTGGCATGATCGGCATTGGAGCTTTCCTCCTCGCACAAGCAAAGCGCCGCCGCTCACCTGTGGAACATTATGCCATGAAAAGCATTGCGGCAGGTACGGATACTTAAAATATCCAATGATAACCTTACACGACCATATTTACTTAACAGTTGCTGGAGTTTTGGGCGTGGCCCGCTTGGCAGATGCAGATTTCCTGAAGGCGAAGACGGAGCCTACACAGGAACATAAAAAGATTACGGGAGATCATCCATTTTTTAAACGCTGAAGCCCATTAATTATAAACGTATTAGTTAAATTTAATTTGTTCAATACAATTATTCACGTATGTAGGCATATGACTCGCTTCAGCGACCCACCTTTCCCAGCTTGGTGTCAGTCTTTGGATTAGCAGTCAGTGTCTGCACTGAAACAATTGTTTCGTTGATCTGAGTTTGTAGCTGTCGTAGACTTTGAATTTGCAGTAGGCGCAGAATGCGCATGGGGTAATCGAGCATTGGATCGTTGGCAGAGACTACATCGTTGCCCTTGTCGAAGGGGAACGGAGTGCCGGTAATCGCTTTTCGATGCTTGGCTGCCGGGCCAACGCGTTCGTGCACAATGCGCGCTATAGCCTCTAGTTGAAGCAAATGATTGGGATGATGGGGCACTTTCAGTTTTGTGGCCAGGGCGCGAACGCCAGCAATAAATTCCTTGTCATGGACTGGATATTTTTTGCAATTAGTAATGTACTTGACTTGTTTTAGCACAAAGAACTCACCATTTATCTTGCCATCAAATATGGTTTGAATTTTCTGTTGCGATTGCGCGCCATTGTTCTTTGTCAGGATGGGGTCCTGACCATTGATCAATTCGTATTGTGCCGGATCATCCAAAAACTCTAGACGCATTGCATGCCCCACCATCCAGGTGAGCTGCTCCAGTTGTGTTTCATATGGGGGCATTTTTAAATCAATGCAGTACTTCTTGTAGCCTTCTTCCCATATTTGCATGTCGTCCAAGCTGCGCAATTTCTCGCGATCCTCAATCGTATAGAGACGTATCTTTTGATCTTCTAGCCACAGTACCGTGCTTGCAAACTCCTTGCGGTCTGTGTGGATGAGAGTGAGTCGGATTTACTCTAATATTGGACAGCGCATTTTATACTCACTGCTTAATGCCACATCGCTTGGAGTTGGATGACCTAAGGCCTCAAGTTTAAGCTTTAACATTATTTTGTTCTAGTGGCTTTTAATAGACAATTTTTCAGATTAACAAAAATAAATGCAGCTATCAGACGGGGTGCAAAAACAAAACAAGTGACCATTTCATATTCTGTTCTGCATATGGTCACACTGCCGCACAGCTGTTACTTATCGATAACACTAGGTGTATTTTGTCATCTTCAATCAGTTTTGAATTGCAATTTTATATTATTGCCACAATGGCCAGCAGCAATGCAAACGATTCACAGTTGGCTTTTATATGTGATCAGGTACAGCTATGCATGCTGCCTAGCCTCAAAAAAGATCTAGATGAAGTGCAGGTTCTGCCGGCGCATTTTGAAGCTTACCATTCCATGCTCAAACAAGAGCTGCCCAAATTGTATGATCTTCTACAGAGAAACGAGGATGTTCTATTAAATGATGTCTTGTACCAGGAGGTTTGCCCAAGAAAATACAAATTTTTTATGTATCTATATTCACATCTCAATCATTGTTAATTTAGCTGCGTGCACAGCTTGTGCTGCTGCTTTGTGAACTGACCGCGTCACAGACGATTTACAGCCTGGACGCAGGCGACGCTAAACAACTCCTGCAAAATGCCAATCAAATCCTAAGCAAGCTTGCGCCCACATGCCAGACGGCTGAGGAATCCTATATTTTCAACTATTATGAGCGGAATCTACACAAGGATTGTTGGAAGCGTCAATTGGGGGCAGTACATGGCTACGTCAGATACTTGGAGGTAAATTATCACAATCAGATATGTTGATATTAAGGTATAGAGAAGTTCCTTTACAGATCCGCTACGTAAACGATGTGAAAATGTCTACACAGATGTTAACATTCAGCGTAGCTGTGGGCCTCAACGTACGTGAGTGCTTTCGGTCGGAATACAAGCAGCTTGGCGTGCGTATTTTTACATATATGTTAAAACATGGCGTAAGATATATCTGGAATGTCAGTATACCTCATATGCTTTTAATTGATTTATACCCAGCGTCCTGCGGACATACAGCAAATGAATATTCACGGCGTGATCTATGAGCATGTCTTTAGGGATGTGCAGAGTATGGACACAATCGCCGAAACAAGTTCCAATTGGGATTGCCTTTGCCTGTGCTTGGATCATTTTACTGAGCTAGATGTCTTTTCGGTATATAAGCCCATTTTATATTTTTTAAAATCCGCTCAATTCTAACTGATAATATTACAGTGGAATCAGTGCGATGATATGCTCGAGCGCCTTATACAGAATGTGTCACTGGCCTCCAGCACGGAAATGTCAATTTGCCTAATGCATTTCATAACAAAGCTTGGCTATTATTTTGCTATTAATAAGGATGATATCAAAACTGCGATAGCTAGTGATTTAACGCAACCGAATCAAATGGTAGCCTGCTTAGAAGTCTGTGCCTCGCTTAATGTCTGCACCAATTTTCGATGGGCTAAAAGCATCCTGCAAATGCTTGTGCTGGAGTCTGAGAAGCTGTTGCGAAGCGCGGATGCCTGTGCTCAGATGCTAGTCGCTATGCAGCGCTGCTTCTTAGTGTGCGTATTACCCATTCCTCTGCAGGCCCTGCATATGCATTTGGGCGAATTTTACGCCAAGTTTGTAGCTGTGCTTCTGGAGAGCATTGTCGTGCATGAAAGGGCTCGGCCAATCTTAGGGGTAAGTGTACCTATTCATATTACTTATTTATCTCTTATTTACTTAAAGATAGTCATAAGTAAATCAACCCGATTTTTTATTGAATGATGCAGAACTATTTGATATATATTGCTTTTTATTATGTAAAAGAGTCATATTCATATTTTTGGTACCCCTCCCATGGGATGATAATGATTTCCTATTTTTCCCCGCATGGTGCGACTCATTTGAAAACTTAAAACGTTATGATTATCTTCTCTTAAATGAGCGAAATGTTTATAAGTATTAAAGTCCACTTTTTTTTTTTAGCTAACTCAGCAATTTTTTCAAATGTTCGTTTATCAACTGAAAAACTGCCCACCCGAACATCAAGCCGCTAGTAATCTAAAACCCTATCTGACTGCGCTGGAGAACTTACCTGCCGTTATTGTCAAATAAAGTTCAGCTATAAAAGAATTCAAAAGTTCTTGAGAATTATTTATTGATCAATTTATTGCATTGCGCCTACACTCTATTTTTCGAGCCGAAGTACGCGAATCTAACGCTGGAACGCACCAAGGACTCGCGTATGGTGCATGTTTGGAATCACATAGTAACAAAATGGCCCCTTAAGATTGATTCAAAGGCAGCTTATATGCATTGGGCGGCGCAGCATTGTCCCAGAGTCTCTGCGGCTACAGGAGAGCTGTTTTATTAATTCAGAAAATATTGCTTACGTTTTGAGAATATTTATTACTAGCGGGTATAACCCGGCCTTGCCCGTGGCACGTATGCTATAAAATAAATGTTCTCAAAAAGGTTTGAAAATGATTTTGAAACTGATCGGACGGTAAACAAACAACTTTCATACAAATGTTTTCCGCGCATTTACCACTGTTGCGGGTGGAAATTCCCAAATCGCTTAAACACGTATTCATTAGGTTATTATGCAGAGCTTTGAAAATAAGTTGGAAGCAAATCGCACAAAACTTAAAAACACAAAAAAAAAAAATAAAGATGTGAAACACGCCTCAAATGATTTTTTATGGAGATCCTTGGAAATGAATTTGAGGGCAAAGCGTCAGCCATCAAATCTTTGACCACCATTTCCACAAAGGAGGAATGGATTTTCAAAAAAGTGCGAAACATTTATCAGATGAATTTTGACAAAGATCGGATGTTAAACAAAAAACGTTCATATAGCCGTTGTTCGCCAATTTACCACTGTTGCGGGTGGAATTTTCCAAACTGTGGTTATTTACCATCTGATCGCCGTCAAACTCATATTCGAAAATCTGTGTTCAAATTAATTTGAGGGGTGTTTCATACTTTTCGAAAAATACATTCCTCATTGGTGGAAATGGGGGTTAAAGATTAGGTGGGTGACATTTCGTGCTCAAATTTATTTACAAAGATCTATAAGAAGAATCGCTTGAGACGCTTTTCGCAGAATCCAAGCATGCTCGGTAGAAATTCGATTCGATTTTATACATATATAAAGCTTATTAGCTGGTTCGAGGCCCGGGCAGTACCTGGGCAACCTCGGTAACGTAAGTTTATGTGTTAATTTTATTTCTTGTTTGTTTTATCAGTCTGAGCTCGTGACACGTTCTGATAGTCGTGGTACATATGTTAGAGTTTTGCACATTATCTAAGGTTCTGTTGCCTTTTCTGCTCTGATTTTTTTTATTTCCTGCCTAATTTCTTTGTGGTATATTGTGCTCGGTATGTTATCATTCAGCTGAATGCTGCATTTATAATCATACTAATTGAGTTGCTTGAGATAAAGTTAAGTATTCATCTAGAGACATGGGTGTCCTATACCACTTAATTTTTAGTATGTTGTCAAGTCTGCTTACTTAAGAGAGTAAAAATAGAAATTTACCGTCATTTTTTAACTTAATTACGGCACGATAACCTAAATATTTCGTGTGTTGGATTAATTGTGAATTTATCAGTAATGTCGAAAAGTTCTTCCAATTTTATTTCTGCGATTACTGAGGAGGAATGTGACCTCATTGGCATTCCTTTCAATTGTGAATATAATTTGTCTTCGTATTTAAAATACCTATTGTCCTGAATACGAAATTTAACTATGTCCATAATTAATTGTTTGGGCATAGTTATGTGTTCTTCTAATTAGGTCCAATTTCGTCTAATTGGGTCCACTGCCAATCCCATTGGTATACTGGGAAACATGGGATACTTATGTTTCGCCTTTACTAATTAGGGAATTGTTGAGTCTGTCTATAACATTTATTTACTTATTTATTTATTTATTAAATGGTCGACAAAAACAAGTGCCTTACTAATTATTCAATATATCAAATTATAAAAATTAAGTGCTAAAGGCTTATGTTTATTTGCCCGTCCGGCCAGCTTTGCCCCTTTTCACAGATATATTTGTCAGTGACGCTATAAGAGCCTACGACTAAGAAGAAGGGTGTTAGTAGAGAAAATAATATTAATTAACTATATTATTTATGAAAATACAATAAATAGGAAAGAAGAAAGAAAGGAGTAGTTAATAAAGTAAAGAAAAGTATACTATATATTTAGAGTGTTACGTAGAAAGGGTTCGGAGATAGTAATGGATCATCACCGAGGGAAAATTTATAGCCTCTCCGGCAAGCTACGCACCAGCTCATAGCTGGGAATAGTCAGTGAGTTCCCGAATGTGCACGTAGGTAGGAATAAGGGGAGATAATTCCTAGTAGGTCTAGGCGGAACAGAGACTTGAAGCCGCCCTAACAGAAAAGGAGAATCTATTTCGCCAACAATTAACCTATGTAGGAAGACAACACCGAGAACTGAGAACCGAGAAGAAGCAGCCTGCTGGAGAAGGATGGCAACCGAAGATTGGGGTCCCAATTTAAACCTCGTAAGGCAAAAATCAGCAATTGCTTCTGAACAGATTCAACACGATCCTGGCTATTGTTATACTGCGGAGACCAGATGCCAGAGCAGTATTCAGAGGAGCAAGAGAGATGTACAGAAGTTTCGTTATAAAAGGATCGTTAAACTCTTTAGACCATCGTAAAATGAATCCAAGTACACCTTTTGCCTCATTAACGATGGAATCTATGTGAGGACTGAAGTAGAGTTTAGAATCAAAAAGAACGCCTCGATCCTTAACTGTTAGTAGACGTTGCAATGGAGTATTGCCAATTGTATAACTAACAAGATAGGTAGTAGAAGTAGTACGTAGTAGTAGTATTCGTACACAAACAAATTTTTTGGAGCCATTGAGTAATAAACAGATACAAAGATGAAAAGTCACTCCGAGCTTTTATTGCCGTTTTAAAACTGACGTAAGGTCGATAAGGTTGGTCTGCAAACGCAAGATCAAATACAAACAAGTAACAAGGTTCTAGTCGGGAGCTCCCGACTAGGAGATACCCTGAACCCTCTTATTTCAACCCCAAATGCAGCTCGCGCTACGCGATCGTTTGCTCAAGTAGTAATTAAAAACAAAAATAAGTTCCCTTGGCCGGGTTCAAACTCGTAACTGACCGCATTACTTAATGCCGCCTCTAATCAACAGTCACACCTGCCAAAAAAAACAAAAAAATAGTTTCCTCGATAGGGTTCGAAATCGCAACAGACCGCACTATTTACCGCCGCCTCTACTCTTCAACCACACCAATAATTGAGTCTTCATTAGAAAAGAACGAATTAAAATAGCAGCACAGAAAACAATACAATCGCAATTGCAATGCTGTTGATAGAATTCAATGATTGTGTGTGTGTACATGTATACAGAAATTCTTGGAATTTGCGCTAGCTGCTGCTAACACGTGCGCACATTACCTTTGTGTTTCTTAAGCGATCTTAATGAAATTTTCGACAGTACATCTTATTGTGCCATATAATATTTGTGTATTCTCAAAAAGTCAATTGCATATAAATTGATGTGCTATACAAGTTGGATTATTGACTTGATTTATAGCTTTTCAGTGGTAGCGGGGAGGTGGCGATAGGCATAAAACGAAAGATACTTGATATATCTGTACTATTCTAGAAGATACATGTCAAGTTTGGTGACTCCAGCTCTTATTATTTACCAAAATTGCTCAAAAAACAGGATTTCGATATCGATTTTTATCGATTACTTGGAAAAGGGGCAAGTTATCGAATGTCGGAAAGAAACTTGATCTGCGCGGGCATTAGGAGGACCTACAGCTAAAATTTCGAAAAAATATAGGTTCTGAGATCCTTGCGTTCATACATACGGACGGACGGACAGACAGGCGGACAGACAGACGGACATGGCTAGATCGACTCGGCTGTTGATGCTGATCAAGAATATATATACTTCATGGGGTCGGAGATGCATCCTCCTGCCTGTTACATACATTTGCACAAATACATAATACCCTTTTTACCCATTTTCAATGGGTTCACTGTATAAAAAGCAGGATTAAAGCGCAAAAATATATAAAAATCCTGGAGCACAAGTAAAACACGTCAATCACTCTAAACTGAGAACTCTCTCTGTTATTGGTTGTAGCAAAGACAATATAAACACAAATAAAGCATGCATTTCATGGATAAAGCAAAAGTACTTTGCGTCGATGAACTAACGAGTTCAAAACTTTTTTGCTCAATGTAGTTCGAAAACGGAGCGACGCAAACCATCATCGACCAGCTTTGCTGAAGGCAGGCTGGCGACTAACTTCGTTGCTCGTGTCAGCACGAGCGTTCGTCTGAACGAAAAGCCGTCGGCTTGTATGTCGTGAAGTGGGAAAAGCCAAATAAAAAGCCAGGCTAGAAATTTCGCGTCGCATTCAAATGTATGGGCGTGACTCATCTTAGAGTTTATATTGTCTTTGGTTGTACCGTATCTTTGCTGTAACGTATTTTAATTAGCGAGATAACCGATTTCGGCTAGGCCATTGTTGCTTTTAAACAACCTAAACTACCTTTCTTTATAACATTTCAGCTAAGTAAATGTAACGACCACGATAGTTCCCAAAAGACAGTTAGTATACACACACGTATCTTGGATCTTTAAGGTGTCTTGTTTGAAAGACTTTATAGGCCCATTCTGTTATGATGAATAACGCAGCTGTCGTATTGAAGAAAAAAGCCGTAAAAGAAGAATAATTTATTTAGAGTGTCGAACATACTCAGACGAGACTGAACATTATGTTGGTAATTCTGAAAAAATACGGACAATCGCGGAGTCTAATATTTCTGGCAGCTCTTTTGTCAGTGCTACTTATAACATACACATCACGGAACGTATCAAGTTTGTTTTATCAAAGTTACAATATCGCCAACCGATTCAGTTTAAATAATAATATTGTGGAGGATGTCTTACTGTCGAGCTCCAAGCCTCCGCCAGGACGCACTATATTCTTTATCGAGACAAGTTGTCATCGTTCAGATTCCCAGTACAATTTGAGTAATATAAAGGCGCATCAGGCCTGTCCTATTGAATCTGCCGCCTTGCATAATCCAAATATGCAAGTTTTTCTTCTGATTGCCTGCCCCACCCATCGTACCAAATCAATGCCCATCGTCGATGCCCTTCTAAGCTACAAGAATGTCCAGTTTCGGGAATTAAATCTAGAGCGGTATGCACAGGACACGCCTGTCGCAGACTGGATCACGAACGGCAAGCTATTTAGCTCAAGGTTAGAAATTCTTTTATCGTAATTCAGATGCTTTGGCTAACTTATATATACTACTTAGATTTCTGATGTATCACCTATCCGACCTACTACGTTTAATAACCCTTTATCGCTTTGGCGGCGTCTACCTGGACATGGACGTACTGAGTTTGCGAACCTTGGAGGATGTGCCACTAAATTATGCGGGTCGCGAGTCAATAAATAGCATTGGCAATAGTGTTATAAGTTTGGAGCCCAATGGCTTTGGCCATCAGCTTGGCGAGTTATTTCTGCAGAACTTCCAGGAGAACTATAACAGCGGCGCGTGGGCCCATAATGGGCCAATGGTCATAGTGCGTGTCCTGAGGGAGTTGTGTGGAACTCAAAATATTACCCTCATGGTGAATAATCGCGAACGCTGTCACGGCTTTCAGGTGTTCAATGTAAGCGATATTTACGAGATTCCATGGACGCAGTGGACTCTGTTTTTCGAGCCGAAGCACGCGAATCTAACGCTGGAACGCACCAAGGACTCGCGTATGGTGCATGTTTGGAATCACTTAGTAACAAAATGGCCCCTTAAGATTGATTCAAAGGCAGCTTATATGCATTGGGCGGCGCAGCATTGTCCCAGAGTCTTTGCGGCTACAGGAGAGCTATTTTATTAATTCAGAAAATATTGCTCACGTTTTGAGAATATTTATTATGTATACATTATTAGCTGATTCGAGGTCCGGGCTTAATTAATTAAAATAAAAAGGTGAAAATAAATTTGTTGTAATATATATTCTCCGATATATTTCGGCTGCACCTGGGCAACCTCGGTAACGTATTCGTAGATTTATGTGTTAATTTTATTTCTTGTTTGTTTTATCAGACTGAGCTCGTGAGACGTTCTGATAGTCGTGGCAGAGTTTTGCAAATTTTCATAGGTTCTGTTGGCTTTTCTGCTCTGATTTGTTTTTTATTTCGTGCCCAATTTCTTTGTGGCTTGATATGTTATTAATTTTCTCCGGCCGATGATCCCATTGGCCTCCCTTTCAATTGTGAATATAATTTGTCTTCCTATTTAAAATACCTACTGTCCTGAATACGTAATTAAACTATGTACATACATAATTAACTGTAATGTGTTTTTCTAATTTGGTCAAATTTCGTCTTATTGGGTCTAGTTGTATGCTGGGAAACAGGGATAGGACGTCAAACGATACTTATGTTTCGTCTTCTCTAATGGGGGAATTGTTGTTGAGTATGTCTATAAAATGTAACGCATTTTAAATATTATATTTAGAGTCCATTGTTAAATTTTTTCATATTTCTATAATTTGTTTGGCTTGTCCGTATGATGGGGATCTGATAGATCCTTTTCCTTTTATTTTGGGCCATTATTAAATACAATTATAGGTACAAATATTTGCATAATCAGCAAATTCTCTGTTAAATAGCGAGCTAATATTTAAATCCACTCCTGTCTCATTTAAGAGCTTATATATTAATAAATAAATTAATAATTTGATTTGAAATTTGATTTTGCCTTAGTGCGCCAATTATTTAAAAGTCTGTTAATTGCTTTAATATATGCAAACCTCCTTCCCAGTGCTTTATAAAATTGTTCAACACTGAATGCAACCGGCGGTTCATTTGTCGTGTAAACTAACATTTCGATAGACCTTTATAATGAGCTACATGAGTTTGGTTGACAATTAATTATTATTCTAAAAAAAATCTGCTTAAAATTAATGCTTGCATTGTGGGCCATTATCCTTGCGATTTTATATGTTTAAATCGTGTATATATATCCACTATAATGGAACTAAACATCTAAATTTTTGAAATTTTTTAAATAACAAATTTTTTATTTTCTTAGAATTCAATTTTAGACTAGGATGGATTATGTGCTTAAAAGCATTAATAAAAACATCGCTAATTTGAGAAAACAAGTTCCAAGAATTGACGCTAATTGACCAACTCTAACTTGATGCACTCTAATTAAAGTAAAAGTCCCCATTCTACAATTAAGCATAATTATCGGCGCGTATTATAATTACAAAATCTCAAAAATACTAGATTACTTAATTTATAAGCAAAACAATCAGGGAAAATCAGCTTGAAATCGAAATCGGTTATCGGAATCGGATAGAAGTTCCGTGCTTACGCTAATATGTATATACATAATTTTTCGTCAATGGGGATTTGAATTTTTTTGGTAATGCTTTTAATGTAAAGCCTTCAATTCAGAGATGGACAAACTTTGCCGTGTTTGCATGGACAGTTCCGTTACGTTGGTCGACATATTCGCCGAGCGGCAACAACAATCGAATAAGGACCCCAGCCTGGCTGAAATGCTAAATGAATTCTGCGAGGTGAAACAGCAAGACATGCTGCCCCAGCACATATGCCTGTCCTGCGTGCTTGCTGCGCAAAATGCATATAAATTCAAACGCACCTGCGAGGAGAGCAACCGGAAACTGATCCAGCTGCTACATATTAAGGACAGGGAAAAGGCCAAATGCGCATTGCCCTTCGTGGAGGCAGTCTATCATAAGGAACTGCTGGGGGTCAACTTGAACTGCATTAAGGTAGAGCCGCAGTATCAAGACGAAGCCGTTGCCAACGAAAATAAGCTCTCCTTGATGGATGAGAAATCTGCAGAGCGGGTGCCCCAAAAGAGATACATGTCAAAAAGCCCGACCAGGCGCAGACCACAGAGCCATGGAGAAAGGCCCTACAAGTGCAAATTCTGCGAGAAAGGATTCGGACGATTGTACCTGTTGGGCCTGCACGAGAAGTGAGTGATGTGCAGCATACCATTTGTAGACAAAGTTAACCTTCAGTTTTTTATATGCCAACCAGGCGCCACACTGGTGAGAAAACGCATTTCTGTGGCACTTGTGGCAAGGGCTTTCTACGCGGTCACGATCTGACCATTCACACTCGTATTCACACTGGCGAACGTCCGTTCAAGTGTCCGCATTGCCCGCGATCTTTTATACAGAACCACATCCTTACGGCTCATATGCGACACCACCCTAGTAAGGACTTTCGCTGTGATCACTGTCCCGCTGTTTTTAAACTGCATTCTCAGCTAAGCCTGCACCAATCAGTGCCGCACGGTAAACCTAATAAATTGGCTAGGAAGCCTGCCGCAAAGCGAGTAGCGCCCAAGATCAAGAAACAGAATACAAAGTCTAGCGAGGGGCAAAAAAAACCAAGACCATTAAATATTCTCGAACGTGGATTACGAAATGGGTTAGCGCCAGTCTGCTACGAAGAGCTGGACATAGAATGTGAATTGGCAGCCATGGAGGCAAAGCCGACCATCGATCAGGCGCCGCTCAAGCTGAATTACAATCCAAAAACGTCCAAGAATCGTTCAGTACTTATCCAAGGGCGGCAGAAACACAGCAAGACCAAGAGCGGTAAAGCCGGCAGCGAAAAGTTAGTATTGTCTAATAACAATGTCTATGCACGAATAACAGTTCATTTTCTATGCTCTGCAGATCCCACCGAGGTGCCAAGACTCATTTCTGCGAGACCTGTGGCAAGGGATTCCCGCGGCGATATGGATTAATAACACACATTCGGGTTCATACTGGCGAACGTCCGTACAAATGCCAATCCTGCGGTTTCGCGTTTACTCAAGGGCAGGCTCTCAAGAGGCACATACGCAGAGTTCACAGCAGTGGCGTTCATAAGGAGTTGCGCAACGATTCCAAAGATTTGCTGGTGCCAGCATTAAAACGGGCGATCGTACGTGTGGCGCGAATTCAATTACCACCACACCTATTGACTGTTAAATGTGATGACTGATTAAAGCGCTGTTAAGAGGCGTTATTCCAACTGTATTCTTTATTGTTGCCTTTTTAATTATATATTATATCTATTATTTATTATTACTGGTATTTTTTAATCTGAATTTAAATGCAATATTTAGTTGTAAAGATCTAATATTGAAGTGGTGCAATTTATATATTACATTTTTTTAAACAGATTTTACAAAAATTATTGTTTAATTAACATTTTATGAAATTCATCAAGCACACGATTTAACTAATTTACATTGAACAAACTGGAAGCATTATCGAAATGTAAAGATCTGTAAAAAAAAACATTTTAATTGATAAAACTTATTTGTTTTGTACAAATCGTAGTGCATTGTAATATTAATAAAAGTTTTAAGCAGTTTGCAAGCAAAAAAGGGGTTTTTTCAATATTTGTTTTTTAAATGAGTCGATTTAGCCAGTTTGGTTAAGAAAGATGACTGTCACAAATTTTAATATTCCATTACTTATATATTATATAGGGTCTCAGTGAAGACTGCTTCATTTTGTAAATAAATCTAGTTTAAAATTATTGATTTTTATACGAATCGATAACATAAACATCCAACAGGTGTTCGTTTGAGCTGCGTATATCGATATAGTCACGCAACTGGGTATCGGTCACGCTTTAAATCACGAAGTTTTTCGATAGTCGATATTCAAAAAATTGTGTGAGTCGAAGTCTTTAGCCATCCCTAGGCCTGATTATCTAAACATTTTTTTATGTTAAAATGAACGTTAACGCTAGAATTTTAACTCGTAGATTGGCGCAGCAATGCACCTTCAAACGGATTGGTGAGTATACATGATAATTTGGTTAAAAATAAGCATTGATCAAGCAACAATTTCAGTCACATTTTCCACTAAGCCGACACAGCAGGCTGCAGCTGTCGCAGTGCCGCAACAGCAGGAAGCGTCTGGTCCGTCAGTTCGAAAACCCATTGTGCCTGCACACTATCGCTTTGTCTATCCTGAGTTTCTGCCCGATCCCAAAGTGGAATGGCGAAACTCAGTGCGCGAAAAGCTGGAACGTCTGGATATGCTAGACCGTCGGCGCCAAATCGAACTACCCGAGTTCTATGTGGGCTCCATTCTGGCCGTGACCAGCTCCGATCCCCATGCGGCTGGTAAGACCAGTCGATTCGTGGGCATTTGTATACACCGTGAACGCTGTGGACTTCGCGCACGGTTTATCCTTCGCAATGTCATCGATCACCAGGGCATAGAGGTAGTCTACGAGCTGTACGATCCCACCATACAAAAAGTCGAGGTATTGCGTCTAGAGAAGCGTCTAGATGATAGTCTATTCTATTTGCGCGATGCACTGCCGGAATATAGCACATTTGATGAGCATATGGAAGCGGAAACGTTGGAGGAAGGAACTCCAGTGCCTGTCAACGATATAAAAGTAGTGTTGCGTCCACGACCCTGGTTGGAGCGCTGGGAACGGCAGAACTTACTTGGCGTGGCAAACATTAATCAGTATCTGAAGGACAAGCATCGCAAGTCTGCCGAAAAAGTGCAAAAGCCGTGGGAAAAATACGACCTGATGAAGCAATATCGCTCCACCATTCCCGAAGAGGAGCAAAAGGAGATCTTCGCGGAAGTACACACTGAATTGCATACTTTGGAGCTGCAGCGTAAGCGCAACAAACGGAAACGAACCTTTGTGAAACCCAAGCAGCTGGCATAGATGCTCCAAGGCCCTGCATTTGTTATTCTAACTTGTAGTTAAATAAAACCAAAAACCAATTTACATTGAAAGTTGAACTTTTATGCATATATATATTAACATGGATTATGCTAGAGTAGTTAGTATTATAAGTCATTATTGTAGGGAGCGCCTAGCAGCTAAGAAGCAAAATAATTTACATTCCACGTCACTTAATCATCAATACACGCGATATTTATAGAAGTTTACAAACGAAATTGTTGCATTCCAGCCTATGATAGTAACGACAAGATACAAGAGAAAGATAATGGGCAGCGCAATGAGTATGAGGCGCGTATTCTTCAAATGTGGAATACCTGCAGTGGGAGTTGTACGGAGAAACAGATTAGTTTGGTCTCCGTTATTTATAGCTTCTACTCACAGTTGTAGCCCAGGAAAGTGATGTACACATAGTAGCCCATGCCCATCAGCCAAAAGGAGTTGCCCAGGAATCGTGATATGAACCAAGTCTGGCTTATAAGCCAATTGTAAAAGAACAACTGTATGAAATGCAATAACATCAGCGGCGGAAAGAAAGCGTTCAAATGGACATCAAATGCATAGCCCCACTCAATGTCCGGCTCCAGATTATTTGTGCGCAAGTAGCGGTTCGAAACCACCCAAAAGAACGATGCGATTATGATGCCAGCAAATATGCAATCGACAAAAACCACATAAAATATAAAGGAAATGCTTTGCCAAATGGACAGGCCCAGTACATATGCAAAGCCCAGAGAGGTAACTGAAATCATATTGGGAATATTACTCTTTGAAAATACGACTTGCTTCCAACAACTTACCACATAGACAAATGACTAGCAGCACCAGAAATGCGGGATCGTCGCGGGCAAATTGAGATTTGGTTTGCTTCCTGTAATTAAAATTTCTATACACCTTCTGTGGCGCTATAAACAAGTAGATCATTTGCCAGAATGCAAATTCAAAGTCCATTTGATTAAATTTGAGCAACCGCCGCAGATATTTGTAGCTCTTTGATGTTGCCGAGAGGCAATCCTTGCGATATCCAATAGGCGGCGGCAAAGGCGAATGCAGACGCGATGCGCTCGAATAGCCAGACACCACGGATGGCGTTGGCGATGTCGTGTACTTAATGTTACTGTATTGGCTCATTTTTTGTGTTTTTAAAAACTAAATATGTAAACGTAAACGTCTTGCATTTTTGTCTGCAAGAACAGCTGGTTTGAGGTCGGATAGGGATGAGATAAAAAAATTATCAAAATGAGATACTATCGCATTGTATTCACAATTAAAAATATCGATGATGAGATCGATACGATTATTGAAACAACCAGTGTGACCGAATTTATTGAAAAATAAGTGCGCCAAAATATTTATTTTAAATAATTTTATGAAAAAAACAAAACACTCCAAATAAATAATTTAAATTAATCATATATATTATTTGTTCGGCGTTTCTAATGCTCCTGGCCGAGACTGTTGGGACTGGCTGATGCACAAGGTAAGGATGAAGTTGGAGGCTGGAGACCAGCTTGTTTGCTCCACTTTTCGTCCTGTTTACTGTGGCCAAAGTTTTGGGGTAACAATCAACGACACGGCAATCCCGAGTCGTTAATAATCTCCCCTAGGAACTACTACTATATGCAATTGGTGTATTTGTTTAAAAAGTCTACAATGCAAACAATTCATGTTTACACTAAGGAAAAATAACGTTTATTTTCCAAAAGCCGATTATCTTGTTTTCTAAAAATACACATCGACATGCGATTTACTTGGCGTAAGAATCTCAAAAGTAAGAAAATGCAATTCAAACGAAACGTGAGTAGTTTACAAAGGGTCATTAACACGTGATCCAAGTTCGGAATTCTTTTGAACCATTTAAAAACTAATTTGGACATACTGCTTAGGCTTAGAGAGCAACGCCAGCAGCAGGAATATAGAAATCAAACGTAAGGACGAAAAACAAATTATATACGTCTATAAGATAGTTTTCGATTAAGAATTTAAAAGCTTGTGAGTCTCAAGTGGAAAATATTGAACATACCAAGCACAATTAAATGCCCCTTCTGGAAAACACACGCTAAACTCCCACAATTGCTGAGATAGTTCTATGGAAATGGAAAGTTTCAGCTGCCGTTGATGCGACTGTGCCACAATTAAGGCATCATTGAATGCATTTTTCAACGCTATGCGACACCAACGGAGCGGTCAACGGTCAACGGTCACCGATCAGCCGGCTACGGGCAATTTATGGCACAAACTCTGGGCGAAAAAAGAAAAAAAACAATAAGCAATCTTTATCACATTTAATGCAATGCCCTTTGGCATTGACAACGGGCCAGGATCAAAACGCAAGCATAAGACAAAGGCAAGCGGGTGCCAAGGGAAATCAAGGGAGAAGGAGAATCAGAAAAGGTCAAACAATGCACAAAAGGAGCAGCAAGCGAGCGAGCGCGCGCGCTCAGACAGAACACATCTTGAGGTCGTCTTAGAGGTCAACTTTGGACCTACTTAGGCATGTCGCAGCCACATTAACGCAGGAGAGAGGGATGCGATCTTGAGCTGAAACTGCAATCAGCTCTCGGCTGCTGCATTTAATGAGTTTTCACTCCAAATAGGGGTTGAGATTTGAACACATGTATGCATTTTCCGTCTCTCTCTCTCTCTCGCTCTCTCTTTGAGTTGAGTTTCTCCGCTTCCCACTTGGGCGATCTATCTTGTCCGCGCAGCACAGGACATTTCCGGATTGCATTCAATTGTCCTGTTGCAACAATTGCGCTTTTTATTCCTGCTGTTTGTTTGTCACCTTTTCTTTTGCGAATGGTTATTGGTTTTTTAGATCATGTTACGTTTTTTGTTTGCTCAATATCAATACAAGGATCCATGTCAGGCGGATCCTGGCAACAAGACAAATGGCCAAATTTGCCAGACAACGAACGATTGCTCCCAATATACTTAAACAGCAGCCGTCTCTGCGCTTGGCGCCCATAAAAATTAAATGAAAATTAAGCGTAAACACGAGAATTCTGTCACATAAATCCCCCGGGGCAGATCACCACAGCCTCGCCCGGCACCTTGCCAGCAACTATTTTTAGTCCTTGGGAATGGGAGCCGCAGCTGTTTACTCGTTCGCTTCCTTACTTGCATACTGTACATCTGCAGTCTGCAGTTGAGTTATGCGCCGCTGAGCCTGCTACTTGATTAACACATGTCCTGCCGGGTAGCCAATGTCGCCGCCACGCCATGCAGGCGTATCCCCGACACGTAGTCCGCCAAGCGTCACAAGAGCTGCTGGGCTGCAGGCGCAGAAGTCGCCCGATATGTTAATGTTTAG